GCGGAGGTATAGCAGAACGGTTCTTGGGGCGTTATGATGATATCCCCTCGCCGTCCGTACAGCTGAAAGCATGGATGGCAAGTCCTTGTCAAAACGGAACTCCCGCCTGAATTGCAGGACCATCGAGCGCTCGTCTTCAACGGGACACTTCCCGCATTGAAGAGGAGCTCTTACAAGGTCTTTTGAGGAGGGGACTTGGGACGTGTCGGCGTGCAGTCTAAATGACGCATATTGGGTTTGTTCTGGTCCTCCTCCTCCTCCTCCTGCTCCTCCTCCTCCTCCTCCTTCTCCTCCTGCTGCGGCACTGCTCAAAGGATGTTTTCGTCGCTCGGACTCAAACATGATCCTGGCGCAAGGCGCAACCATATGCAGTTGTGGGTACCGCGCTGTGGGTACCGCTTTCGGAGGAGCTCCCTATGGGGCCACGACCCTCGTGAGAGGTGTGCCGAAATTCGCGGGGGAACGCATGCGGCCTTCGGCCGATTCGATAGCATGTCGATCGTTTTTCCGCCGAGCTTCCGCCGCGGTCCCCGCTCTTTCCATTTCTGCTCTCACTCTGAATCCCGCTGCCCATCTCGGCCCTAATAATTTTAGGGCCCTTGGTCATTGAGCTACGCAGATCGCTCGAGCCGCGCTCGCTTTCGACAAAAATTCATCGGTGCCGCGCACCATTCCACATCACAGTGGTAGCCAGGAGCGTGCGAGCCCCGGCAACATCACGCTGCTGTTGCCTGTCGCGCCGCCGAGCACTACACACTCCATATCCATGACAACGGCATCGCCCTCGTCCAAACAATCGACGCCCAGCGGCGTCCTCCTGCTGTTCATATCAGTCATTATCGCCCTCATACGTCAGCGACGCCCAGCCTAACGCCCTCATTCCCAACCTCCCAGGCGTCAGCGACGCCCACACGAAAGCCCTCATTGACCACCTCCCCGACGTCAGCGACGCCCTACCCCACACGTTCTCTCAGGACTTCAGCGAAGCCCTCTCGCTCCATTTCGCATTCTCCCAGGACTTCAGAGAAGCCCTCTCGTTCTATCCCACGCTCTTTCAGAACGTCAGCGGACCCCACGTGTGCAATTTCACAACCGACCAGAACGCCAAGCACGCAGGCACAATGACGGATCAACACAGCAACTACGGCCAATCGAACGCTCCCACGTGGAACGGCGACCCCGCCAAGTGGAGGGACTACAAGCAGGAGGTGAAGCTTTGGAAGCTCAGTGAGAACTTAGAAGTCACCCAGAGCCTCGCATCCAAGCTCGTGATCAACCTGACGGGGACGGCGAAGGCAGCTGCGCTCAACCTGACGGAAGGAAAACTGCACCCGCCAGCTGCGGACTACATCGAAGACGTGGGCGAGCAGAAGCGCAACCGCAACCCGGTTGGCATCGAGAGTGTACTCAAACACCTGGAGGCAAACCTAAGTCAGCAGAAGCCAATGCAGAAGGGCGAGAACTTTCGCGAAGTCTTCTGAGTCGACTCATCACCATCTCCGGCGCGGTGAACGCAGGACGGACCGGCTCATTCGATTCGAGACCAGTCTCCAACAGCTACGTGAGAACGAGGTGGATCTCAACGCGCTTGACGACGTAGCTGGATGGTTTCTACTACGCACGGCGGGCCTCACGGCAGAGCGACGCGAGCGCGTCGTGGGCAACCTGCCTGATGAGCACTACGGATTCCAGCGCATCCGAGGCCCACCAGTGAAGATGCCCCCGGACATCCACAGCTCAGAGCGCCACGCGCCGCGGCCGCCGCGGCCGCGGAGCAATCAGTCGCGCCCTGCTCGCGGCTGGAAGCCCCCCCCCTCGCATCGAGGAGGGCGCTCGACCAATGTCGTCGACGAGCCAGAGGGCGACAACGAACAGCAGGACTATGGGAACGAGGGCAAGACCGACGTCGACTTGCAAGACATGGTTCGCCAGGAGCTCGAGGCGTTCAGTGCCGAGCTCGAGTCCTCCAACGTCGAGATCTCCGAGGTGTTCGACGGCGGCGACTCCGCCAAGGTCGAGGCCGCCGCGGCGGAGCTCGCCGCAATTCCCAAGGCCATTGCCACTATCAGATCGGCCCGAGAAGCCCTCAAGGGACGCGGCAAGTCGGGCACCAAATCGGCTGGGGCGCGTCGCCCCGGCAAGCTCCAGAGCCGCGTCGACCAGCGCAAGAAGACACGCGCGCGCTGGGATTGCCGCGAGGCGGGGCGCTGGACTGGAGACGAGGAGCGCCCCACGCCCGGCGCGCGCAAGTTGGCGCCCAAGAACAAGCAGGGGGGCGGTCGCGATGGAGGCCGAGGTGGCAACCCCCAGCGACAGGCGCGCACCACCGAGCAGGTCCAGTTCGTGGACGAAGCGGCGCAGCCACACCCGCAGGGGCCGGCGACGCCCCCTTCGGAGACCGGCGCCTCCGAGCGGTCGATACATCATCTGCGGGACGTCAACGCACTAACGAATGGAGAGAAGCCCGTGGACGAAGGGCTCGGCGCAGTGGGCGCTGCCTGCCGCCTCTGCGTCTCGGGCCGCAAATGGCGCGGCAACTACAAGGATTTGCTTACCAAGATGGGCCTGGCCGACCAGGTCCTCGAGGAGCCCGAAGGCGAGGTCTGCAGGTTCGGCAGCGGGGGTACTCTCCCTAGCAAGATGCGCGTGACCGCGCCGCTTGTGCTCTGCGGCTGGGCTGGTCGCATCGCGTTAAGCGTCGTGGACAGTCCCGCGCTGGGTCTCCTCGTCGGACGAGATTTCACCCATCCCTCCAAGATCGACATCTCGCTCTGGAAGGCACAGATTCGCATCGGAAATGTCATCCAAAGGCTCGTCACGAGCAGCGCAGGTCACCCCTTGATTCGTCTGCAGCCTGAGGGCTAGCGCGTGATCAAGGACGCCTGCACAGAGTCCCCTACTAGACCGACTGGGAAAACCAAGGCGGATAGCGCCCCGACCATCAACCAGGCCATCAGGACCGAGTACTGACCGGGTCTATCAGCAAGCTCAACAGCAAGAAGGAGATAAACGTGACGAGACGCCTACAGCCTCGCCGCTTAAAAGGATCCAAGCTTTATGTCTGCTGTGGCGTCAGCATCAGCGCGCTGCCCACGGCATCAAATACCCAACACCACACTGCGACGACATTGCCGCCGCCGCCCCACCCCACGACGAACGTTACCGAGCCGTCACAGGGCCGCATTTCTTGCGGAGAGAAGTCCCAGAAGGCCTGCAGCCACATGGGCTTCTGCCCAGAGCGCGCGTCCGGCACCTCCGTGACCCGGGACGACTACGCCGAGGATACCACCCTAAAGGAGGTCAACATCGCGGAGGAGGAGCAGCTCAAGGTGAGGAACCTGAAGAAGGGAACGAAGCCACTGCTAATTGCAGGCAAGCGCATGGCTTTCGTTGTCGAAAAGAGCGGCGCTCGGCCGCGCCAGGTCAACCAGGCCCGGGTCACTGACATGGTCGGGTCTACTACGAGGTCCAAGGCGATCAACACCACGAGCGACACAGTGCTCTACCAGCGGCGCTGCCACCCGCACAGCAAGCTCAGCGCCAACTGGACGATCATCACGGAGGAGCAGCCGTCAGGCGTGAGCTACCTGCATACGACCTGTCGCGACCTTTCGTGGTCAAAAAACTCGAGAGCAAGATCAGGACGGCCCTCGCTCGTGGCAAAGTCGTCTGAGTCCACGCAGCGTTTCAGTGCCAGCCATGGACTTCCTTACAGCGACTTGCTATCAAGATCGACCCTGGGGAGATCCCAGAGCTTCGGCACGACAGAGCCAAGTCCGAGCAAATGATCGGACTGCCCCTGCAGTCGACGCCCCAACTACGCGAAGAGTTCGGCGGGCAGCACGCCGCTTCATTCGAGTGACCGAGATACTGCGACGGATGGGACCCCAACAAGAACGCGACCGTGAGGAGGTTGAAGGAGCAACTGCCGCGGGTTTTCGACTTCGACGGCTGCGCGCTCGCCTTTAAAACGAAAAAACGATCCACATCAAG